TAAGTCAATTCAATTTGATTTGTGTTTGGATTAACAAATTTTGAGCTCAACGTCCAAATATATTGTCCCTTTGACTCAAGTTTCTGTGTATTTCGCCGTATTCAAGAACATATTTATTTGAGTAAACGCAAAATTTACTTGAGTAAAATTATTTGTTTTTTGTGTGCACGGTTCACTGAACAAGCAGAGGCTTCGATTTCGGCGGTTAGCCGATGTGACGCCACAAGTTCCCGCATAATTTATTTTCATAAGGGATTTTCCCGGATACTATGAATATAGGACTGCGGTTTTCACGAGAGATCTTAGACTTTTTTTCTTGATTTGAGTAGCTTGAGTTGTTTTTTTGGGTCACACCCCCTTTAAATCACCGTTGAGGACAGTCACAGTCAATTTTTGCCCATAGCTATCACCAATGTTTGACGATCAGGTAAACAGACAAAAAAAAAAATTCAAGCTTCTGAAAGCATTTGATTTGAGGACTTCATGTGGAATGTGGGGTCGACTGCGGTAGTGAAACTTTAGCGATGAGAGTTTCAAGCACCCCCAATTCGTAATTATCATTACATTTACAAATTGTTTAAGGCATATATTTTGATAGTCTTTCATGGAATGATGATCTATGTATCTATATGATATATTTTTTATTATAATGCGTGGTACGAAAAATTTGAAAGAATAGGGTCAGTCTGTGTGGGGTTTTTGTATACGGAAAAGTTTATTAGGGCGAATGTAACCATTCTGCATATTACGGTTCATGAAATAAGAGCAATCGCTATCGTACACGTACTATCTATAACATCGCCTCCAAAAGCGTTCCAATACCAACTGTTGAGTGTTGACCCCATCACATAACAGAAAAGTGAGTGAATGCTTTTCGAAGCATAAGGAGGATTTAGGGATATTTCAGAGAACCAGAGGCCCTCTTGATTTCCACCTCAATGAAACCAAAAATAAAATACAAGAAAGCGACGTATATATACTGTCTTGTGGTTCCTTCAGTAGTACCTGCCTACGCACATTAGCAAAACTTGTGGACTTCAAAAATCAAGATTAGGAAACACATCAGCAGACTCAACTCGTCCTCTATTGAGCATATTGTTACGAAGTTAATCTATAATCAACATCAAATTTAACCGTTTGTAATTTCATGAAAGGTGGGTTAAGCCAACTCTTAATGGATAATGCATAATTTTAATTCATAATTGATAATGTGTGATTCATAACGCGTAATGCATAAGAGAGAAGAGGTGTTTATATAACGCATAATTTTTGTGCATTAAGAACTGACAAGACATCTGACTTTGAAACTTGCTATTTCTCATAAAATAATAAATAATTTAATAAATAATAAATTAGGCTTTATATTATTAGGAAAAATCCCATTTGTATAATTAAAAACGGAAAAACTCGATTCCAGATCAAAAACCATTGAAAACAACACGAAAACAGACTAAATGATTTCGAGGTTATGAAGCAAAACCAAAACAAAAACAAAGTTGGAAATAATCAATTAATATACGCTTGCGCTCTAGCGTTTTTTGCACAATGCATAATGGATAATTCGTAAAAGTTTAAAGCTAGTTAACTTTATGAATTACGCATTATGTACTAAATTATCCACTATCCACTATGCGTTGTATAAACGGGTGTATTTCAATATGAAGTTTTAAAAATTATCGATTATGAATTAAAATTGTGCATTATGCATTAAGAGTTGGCTAAACCTACCTGAAGTCATTGAACAAAAAATTGAAACAAATGACAGCTAGCGGTGTTCGAGTTCAATCTCAAGAGATCTTAAAATAATATTCCTTCACAAAGGTTCTTAGTCCGGTTTTTCGAAACAATTTATTCCTTGGTTAAGCTAATGGGAGCTATAAATGTATTCATTAAATTTTATATGATATGTCACGATAATCTCAACCGAGGCATAGATAAATAGAAAACAAATATTTTAGGCAAAGCATTGGGTTTTCAAGTAGTACTCTACTGTAATAGTCTTCAGGCAAAAACAAACGAGCAACACTTGAATACAGTGTCGGACTGGGGATCATTTGGCCCACCGAGCATATGGTGAAGTGGCCCACCTAACCCAAACCCCCATTGGATGAAAATAATTTTGATCTGGTACCTAGTTGTATAGGTATCTATAAAATATAGGTACAGATCGTTTCATAAGGGAATCATATTTTTGATATCGAACATGTCATAACTTGAAAAAAAAGGGTTGTCGTAGATTAATTCATATGACACATTCAATTTTTTTGACAAATTAGAATGAATGACTTCTGGTTCAACAACCGACGAACGTTTGTGACGTCATTGATTTGCTTCAGTCAATTTCTATTTGTTAAAAAAGGAAAGCAAAAAGTATGAACCATCGTGAAACAATGTTTAGGTACTTTAGGTTAACTCCACCTACCTGCTTATAATTTTGTTGTTATTTACCAATGTAGTATGTAGTTTGTAGTTGCATATAAATTACCAGTGGGTAAAATAAAAAAAACAACAGGATATACAGTGTGTCCGTAAAAGTCGGCAACGGATAAATTTTTTCAAAATTTAACCGGGACCCGCTTACGGTACTGACTCAAAACGCCTGTTTTAAGGTTATAGTATATACATAAATCATATGCAATGTCGTTGATACCTATGCATACGTGTGTTCTACGAGTTTTTACCCAGGTGATAACTTCGGAACGCGTCATTAAATGTTCTTCTTTGTAATTTTTTATCATTATTCAACAAAGCCTCAAGAAATATGGCATTGCCGATTTTGTAATTTAATTTTCAAACACGAACGAAAAATTCAATTACATTAGATGATGCGTTTCGAAGTTATCACCGAAGTCTATCACCTGGGTAAAACGTCGGGGACACTCTGTATATAAATTATAAGATGGTACGTGCTTTTAAGTCTATCACCTGCGTAAAACGTCGTGGGACACCCTGTATACCGGGTGGGCCAGCGAAAACGAAACAAGGTCGATATCTCGTATTGATCGTTCATTGAAAAAAATCGCCCGGACCCGTCGATTTTTTTTCGGAGGGGGAAATCTTTTGCACATATTTTTAATGTTGTCGCTTCAACCCTCTCGCGGGGGTAAGCGCCAACCCCTAAATCTTAAATGGCAGTAGGGGTCGAGCGATACCTCATTTCAAAGGTCATCGAATTCTCTTTTCAACAGTGCCTAGTTTTTTGAATTTTTTTTTTCAAAAAATATTTAAAATTAGATTGTATTTAGTTGAATTTTATTGAGTGATAAAAAAAACCTAGACTTAAAGCTTGTGATTTCAAGTTGGATAGAACACGACTTTAAAAAAAAACACATAAAATCACTTCTTAAGTAAAAATTGTTATATCTACAAAATTGTAAGTGCTCAAAATGACTAAAACAGTACTAGTTCCGTCTATTTTTGAATGCGTTTTCTCGAAAACCACTGCATCAAATTCAAAAAAATAGGCACTGTTGAAAAGAGAATTTGATGACCTTTGAAATGAGGTATCGCTCGACCCCTACTGCCATTTAAGATTTAGGGGTTGGCGCTTACCCCCGCGAGAGGGTTGAAGTGACAACATTGAAAATATGTGCAAAAGATTTCCCCCTCCGAATAAAAATCGACGGGTCCGAGCGATTTTTTTCAATTAACGATCATAATACGAGATATCGACCTTGTTTCGTTTTCTCTGGCCCACCCGGTATAAATTATAGGTGGTACGTGCTTTCATGTAAAAAATGTGCATTTGTTTATAAACATTAAGGGCCGGTTTCTCAATAGGACGTCACCCCGGGTAAGGCATAACTCTAGGGTAAACATTCGACCGGACTACCGGACACGTTTACCCTGGAGTTAAAACCAACCCGGAGGTGACTCGCTATTTAGTTTAGGTAGAAAACCAGAAAAATTCGTAAGCATGCCTTTAATTTCTGAGGCTCTTTTCTTATTTATTTGAATTTTTTATAAGGATGGTGAATTACGCCAAATAACGTATGATTTGATGATCAATGGCGTGGGGAGTGGGATATTTCAATTTATTTCTATAAATATTCGATTGGCCCACTTGTCGAAGACGTCACCTGGCCCACCGGGATTTTGCCCGGTTGCCCGGTGGGCCAGTCCGACACTGCTTGAATATGAGGCAAACATTTGCTTCAAGCAATTTTTTATTAGAACTTATATCTAAGTTATATAAGTACCTACTTTATTTATAGGAAAAATGTAAAATTGACCAAATTTTGTCATATTTTGTACAAATCATTACTGAATAAAGCAAAACCGAAATTAAATCAACATAGATTTTTCGCATCTTCTTTATTTAAATTAAACTAAAAATAATAATGGTGGACAAAGTTAAATTTAATTCAATTTCTCGGAATACTGTTAAAGAAATTAAAATTAATTTTATGTTGTAGGGGTAGTGTCCATGTATACCAGGTTTGGTTTCAATTAATCCGCCGGATCACTGTTAAAACAATAATTGTTAATTAAGCCACATTTTAATTAATAAAATGTGGCTTAATCATTATTTTATATTTTATTCATTTTTTCTGTGCTATTTCGATTGATCGATGCTTCGCTCACGTAAGGGATCCCAAAGAGAAGTTTTCATGTATGGCAAATTTGGATGCCATCCGTTTGTCGTATCACTGTTATAGTTATTATTGTTATTAAGGTTATAAGGCCGATAAATAGCAAATAACGGCCGGGCTGAAGTTTGTCATCTCTTGTGTATGATGCTGGAAAGGGTACTTTTCAAGATGAAAATTCAAGATGAGCGAGCTTATAGAAGAGCGACCGCCTCCTTGTTAAAGCCAGAGTACAACCCTTTTGACCAGCGGAGAAAAAAAAAGACAAGAAAACAGAAGAAAAAACTAGGAAATCAAGTACATACATCTTAGACTAAATTAACCACAAAAGCATTAAAGCGTTATACAAAAATCGATAAAATACTTCTACAAGAAAACTTAAGTTCCGAACATCATTATAATTACATTAAGGATTGCCCTGAAAGTACCGCAGAAGAAGTTTTGGAAGAGTACAAGAAGCCCAGGCGAAGAAAACCATACTGGCGGGATGAAGAAATCGAGATGATTCTCAGATGATGAGCATTAAAGCAGAAAAATACAAGATATCTTAACGTGAAAACAGATCAAGGTAAAAACGATTACAGAACTATTCAAAGGGAAGTACGTATGGCAATAATTCAAAAGAAGAACGAAAGCTGGGACAGGAATTGTACCAGATTAAAACGTACATAAGAGAAAGCAGAAGCAATGGAAGCTGGAAAATATTGAGATCTCACCGCCAGTAAAAGACAAGCGATATCATTCCAAATGCTCAGATAAATGAAACTAGTATTTCGTAAATCTGCTGACTGATGAAAGAGCAGCCACGACAACCACAATCTGATACCATAGCATTTGCACTCAGATTCAGTAGCGAAGAAGACAAACTAATATGTCAAGCACTAAGAAAATAATAAAAAAAATTATTAGGCATAGGTAACATCCCGCCATAACTGCTCAAATACAAAGCAGACAAACAGGTCATTTTTTAACGATTAGCCGAATAATAGAGAAAAAAAAACGAAATCAGGAAATGCATCTTCTCTACGTAAATCTCAAAAAAAATGTACGTCCTCAATGACTGACCGCATACCGCAGCTGAATATTGTGAAGCTGTCCGATATCAGGCAACGTTAATCAAGGCTGTTTAAAATTCTATTTGATCCCACCTGATCCCAACACTATTCAAAACTTATTTGTAGAAAGCAAAAGGAAGTTCGAAAATATGAAAATACCAGCAATCGATCTCATATTTTACCGATACTTACTGTGGTCTGGCCTAAACATATTTAAAAAAACGGAATACATGTGTTATGGTTGAGAACAACAAAACTAAGTCTTGAAGTAGGAACAAGAAAAAAACTACTGTAAAAAATAAAAATATCTTGGCGTGCACATAACTTACGACGGCAGCCTTATGGTGAAATATAGAGTTGAAACAACCAAGGAAGGGGGCGATTGGACAACTCAACAGCATGCTGTGGGATAAAACAATACCCAGAAAATAACAAGCACAGAATTAATATCAGTATTGATATAATGGGTTTATTCCATAATTACCTATCAGGTTCAAATCTGAGGTAGGTACCAGTAATATAATAATGCAGCAATATGGAAGTAATTGTAACAGTTACTAAACTTTAACTGGATCTCTTAATTCCACGTCAACCGATGTTTTCGATAACGGCGAATTGTTGTCTCAGAGTAATAGCGTATTTCATTGGTAGAGCAAGTGCAACACTGGTGCAATATTCGTGATCCATTGGCAGGGTCCGCGCTGCACTTTCGTATTTCATTGGGAAAGCAATGTACTGAGTTTTGCACTGAGTGCTGTTGGTGCGCCACCGGCTGAAAAGCTCGTGTCGCACTCAGTGCAGTTGTTTATTGTTATTTTTGAAATTGAGGTTATTGGTGGTTGATGGTTTTTCATGAAAAAACAGTCCCAAATTTGATTTTTTTATTGTGTTTTTTATATTTGTCTGCGAATCTACTACCAAAAATGTCAAAAATCGCTTGTTGATGGAAATTGCCTTGATGGAAAGTAGCAGCAGCAATACACCAGTGAAACCAGTGAATATGAAGAATATAAAGGGCTTCTAGCAGAGAGAGAAGAACTTTTTTTTAAATTAAATCATAATAATTATCTATAATAAGCACAAATATAATTTTTTTAATGAAATTCCATATTCGAGGTTTGACGTATATGGGATGGAGCAGTACGATGATGTTTCATTGGGACTGCAGGCGTGCAGTTTTTTTAAAGTGTCAGTGCAAAATGAATGTTGCACTTGCTCTACCAATGAAATACGCTGTAAGTAAATTTTTTGTACCATATTAACTAATGAATACACCAAATATTTGTATATATTTAAATTAAACTGTCAAGTGTCGTATGACGAGTTGATACAAAAGTTCAATAATTTAGAGCTCAGTACCAATACTGAAGACACTGACGGGTGATGGCGGCTTCTGATTGTTCTGTATCCCAGCATCTTTTTTTTTACCATTACAGAACGTTTTTATGTCAAATTTAATATCTATTTTTATTTAACCTAGCGGTCGTAGGTAAATTTATTTTATTGGTAAAGAAACACGAAAGAGGTAGAGCTCCTAAAAAGTCGTAAGCTCCATGCCATTAGCAGTAATGCTAATAAAATAAATACACATTCCAAGTTAAATGAGTTCTTTATCCATGAGGGAGTTGAGCTTGACAGAAGCTGGAACTGCGGACGAATGTGTCCCAATGGAAACATACAAACAGTCGATACCGTGCGCTGATTTTGTACATGATTGCTTTTTTATATCTCAAAACAAGACACGTACACTTACAAGATAACAGGGTCATTTTGAAACAAGATAAACGTTCGTCTCGCCTCGTTTCCTCTAAAAATAATGACCTGAGATTTCATAATATGAAAATTCTACAACATTTTCTTCTTTTCTTTTCCTACTTACGCTTTTATTTTCATCTTGTTAGGTTTTATTGGCAGTTTAAAAGAAAATAATGACCAGTCATATTAGGTAACAAGCAAAGAGAATTCGGAGTGTTTTCTAACTTTCAGCTAATAGTTTTTTATCTGACATTTTATTTTATTGGTAGGTACCTAACCTATACAAAGCGTGCTTTAAACATGTATCCTCAATTAATTTTTTTACCTAATTTTTTAATGTAATACTGTACTCGATCTCTATAATTTTTTATGATTGTTCCAATTGTAGGAAATATTCGATATACAGGTACTTATCTAAACTATATAAATAAATAGATAGATTTTATCTTAGAAGAAATTTGGGATAAGAAAAATGTCATGAATCGAACAGCTGTCACAATTAAGTTCACTGTGTCCATTATTGCAATACCTTTATAGAAAAAACTCTTGTTTCTTTTAAGTCGCTGATCCATATAAACAAAATGGCGGAACCGGCAATACAGCAAATAAGACGAAAGTGCCAGAAGACCAAAATTTTTTACATTTGTTCTATCACGAATCCAACAATTTCTCTTTCGGTCTGGCAGTTTGATTATCAGCATTTGCCTTTCTCCTTTTGACTGCTTTTGGTGAGCTATCTTTTCGCTATTCTCTTTTGGAGAGGCCCATGCTTGACAGCAGTTTGTGACGACAGTATAAACTCATTAAAGACTACTGTTCTGAGATTCTGTGGGTATTTCGGTATTTCTTATGCTTCAGGCCATAGGAGAGTTTTCCGAATGAAGCCCTAGCAAACCTCTTCTCTTAACTTCTGACTGATTTTATTTATTTATTTATTTATTTTGTTTATTGCACTCTACATAATGTACTTAAACATTACAACTTACAGAGTACACTAAAATGTAAGATCTATAATAGATAGAGGTATATGCAGTATACATCGCTCTTAAATCTAAACCTAATGTTCCCATTATTATTAACTAAAAAAAAAAAAAAAGAAACAAAACAAAAGTGATTTCAATTCGTCTCTCTCTCTATAGAGATAGAGGAAAAACCAAATAAATAAGAATACCTGTGAGATTATTTCAATTTTCACAAAAATACATTGATTGCTAATGTTTTTACGGTTCTTATCCTAAGGTAATAAATATCTATGTGGCTAAAATATGAGTTGTACATTTTTTGCATTTGAGATATTGGGCAATTCACAGCATAATTGGTATTATAAAAGTTACAGTAAAATAAATCTGAGCATCGTAGTGACCTAGGCGGTGTATGTAACTTAATCAAATTTAACAATTGGGGACATGATATTACGTTCGTAAAAATTTTATGCAAAAACAACACATACGAAATACATCGCCTGGAGCTTAGTTTTAATATTTGAAGATATCGAAGTTTATGGTCGTAGGTAGAATATTTTATATTTGGATAAAATCTAAAAACTATATGATTTATAAACTTTTTTTGGATTGTTTCACAATTCTATTTATGTATTTGTGATACATTGGATTCCAGACAATACATGAGTATTCCAAAACAGATCTGACCAGTGCATTATATAGCAAATTAATAGATTTTGAGGATTTAAATTTACTGGTTGCTCGCATGATAAATCCTAGATTTCTATAGGATTTGTTTACTATGGTTTCAATATGCTTTTCAAATGTCAATTTTGAATCCAGTTTTCTCTCTGTTTTCCTTTATAATTTGTAGGTACAGGTATAAATAAGCCGTTACCTGTTCAATTTTTGTTTGTGCTATTGTGTTTACAATTTTTTCCTGGTAGTCTAGCATCTAGTTTTCGTTCTCGTACAATTAATCTTCAGTCATAAAATCAAATTCCAAGAAATACCTATACAGAATATTCTATGCTAAATATATAACGACAGCAAACAACCGAAATGGAGCAGATTAATCAAATGTTGCCGGACTTTAAAAAACAAAAATAGAGACAGAAACAAAGACAAGAAGAAGTAACCGAAGACAGAAAGAAAAATAAGAAGAGGAAGATTGAAGACAGAAAAGAGCCAGGAAGAGAAACCCGGAATACCAAAAGAAAGGCAAAAAGTAGATTTCCGAACACAAGAATAACAGGACTGGCATAGGGGAACTTCTCTACTACTCTTGCATCTGCTTCGAAATAAAGCTTTTGAATACGTTACAGCTTCAATATGGGGATCAACACCGACAGCAGCTCCACTAGGAACAGCTGAAAACAAGACAACGAAACTTCACAAGAATTTGAAACCGATATGCGCCTGCTGGGAAATTTGGTCTACACTGAAGCAACAGCTGAAATGCGAGAACAACTAGCGACCAGAAATGATGTTCATAACCAAACCATCAGGTAGCAGCAAAGCAAATCAAATCCCTAGAGATCGAAGCGCCCTATAAGATTTCTTAATCAAGATCGGACCTGTGTCAATAAAAGAAAAAAAAAAAGAACCAAAACGAGAAATTAAAGACAAAGTGAGGGAATTCCTGGAAGAAATAACAAAGGTGACAAGGGCGTTAGGTACCAGAAATAATCACAAGAACTTGAAAGGGGCACCGAATGCGCGGCGGAAGAAGATAATTTGAACGTAATTGAAGAGTTCCGCTGAGAGTCTGCTCTTCTTCTGGTAACTTTCAGCCTTCGCTTCTCGTAAACTTCATAACAACGCAGATGCTTTATCCAGGCAACTACGCCCAGTTCTTCGCGAGCTTTGCCTCAGAATTGATTAGCGTGACAGAGTTCCTGCCTTCTATTCAAAATGGATCAAGACCAATCAGCTTAGAAGTGATCAATGACATCGGGCTATTTTTAAATCTTGACGAAACCGGTAACAGATAGCCAAAAAACTGAACAAAATAAAAATCCGAAAAGCAAAGTCGGAAAAATCGGGAACAAGAATATTGGTGGGATACGAATGCTCTGACGCTTGAAAGACTTTTACGATGAGAAATATTACAAGTTCTACAGCCGTTCGCGAGGTGTAGACAAGGCGGCTGACAGCATAACAGCCAACTAGTGGCCATTCTTCTAGTTCCCGTGATGTCAGTCCATATGAAGAAGAACAACGGAAGGCATGAGACCTGGATGAACAGGAAGGCATCTTAGAAGGCATTGATTTGATTGGCATTGAGATGTTAAGCATGCGGATAGCTGAGCTAATAAAGAACATAGATCTAGAGGAGATTATACTCCCGAAGACATGGTTTATGGCTCTGAGTGGAGGTATAGATGTGGCAGGGGAGGAGCTCCATCTAGGATGTCACTAATAATATTATCTGGTGAATACAGTACAATAATTTGAATTTTAAAATTTTTTTCAACAAACAATTTACAGTGTGAAAATAGGTTGAGGTCGTTTCGACCCTAGTTGTGGTGAAATCTAAAACAGAGTAGAGAGTATTTCTTCAGAAAAACACAAGTGTTTAACCGAATCTCCAAACACTCTGCTAATAACTCATACGATGATTTTGCATTGTTTTGGTCACGGCCAGGTTACACAATAGTTATGGTTTTACTCTATAAATTCTCAATCATTGGATACTACACTAATTGCATATCGGTTTAAAAGGCTTTCTGAACTGACGAGAGCTAATAAGCTCGAAACCGCACACACACAAGCCTCATTTGTGTTTTTTTCCGAAGAAAAACTCCCAACTCTCATTGTTTTAGAATAATAATTCTAAGAACTAACTTTTCAAATAATATTGCATTTCTGCCACATATGTGTTTCATCATTTTCGAGATACCCTTCCTAATACCTATGTACCGCATCAGTTTTTAGAAAAAAACATTATCTACTTACCTATATATCTTGAATATATACGTACCTACCAATAAAAATTGCCTATCAAGCTGAGATATAAACAAACACATCCATAATGTCCCTATTAAGTGAAAAAGGATAATATATGATATTTCTCTTCCCCCTATACGTAATTGTATCCCAAGAGAGAACAATGCGGCACCAACCCCTGTAACTACAGATTATTTAAGACATAATTGGGTAGCGTTGATACGATAACATAATTTTTTTTTGGTTATCGAGAAAAAGTTAAAGCAATAAAAGATATCCCCTGAAACCAAGCACACTCCAAAAAGTGATTATTTACTGCAAACTTTTAATTGGATTTACTGCTTGCATTCTAAAAACCGATTTTACGGATTTCTTTTGGAACAAATACAATACACTGACTGAATACAAATTAATACTAAATTTATTTAAGTGCATCATAATGTAATTTATTCACACACTTAAATATTAAAAACTAATAGAAACGGGTCTTTATAGTTCGTGATTTAATTTAAAAAAATTTAGGCTATAGTTTTCCATTAAACCCTATCAACCGAGCAATCAGTAAGTTAGACAATATAATACAAGTATTGTGTTATTTTACGTTGTTATGAAGTACCTTAATTATTCATTATCTATCATGAAAATCGGCAGTAAATATAGTCGTTTAGTATTGTTGTGCTTTCATTTTGTATAGATTTTACTACTAAAGCGTCACGGTAACTTGGCAATATACACATAGGTGCCAATTTTAACCACTTCGAATAGAAAAATACATGAAAATTAAATTACTTATAATAAAATATGAATGAGAAGAAATCACATGCATGGCTTTGAACCGATCTGATTTTTATTAACCCTGCAGGGTTGCTAGTTTTCCATTGGGTGCCTCAGGTATTGGATAATATAATGTGGAGACAAAGGATAAGTAGTATTAATTCTTTGGTATTAAATACTTAGAGGAAAATTAACCTAACACCGTAGCGTCTGTGCCTACCACGCTCGACAAGCGCGACCTTTTAGCTGCCATTTACACTCAAAACATTCAGAAGTTCCGAATTTCAATCCCACTCTGACAAAATGTCAAGTATTTTATTAGAGAGCTACAAAATCGGAAACCACAAAAAAATCTAAATGCAAAATGTAAACCGTTCTATACATTTGATAGGCACCGAACGAAATCTAGTAGAATTGGAAAATAATTATAGATGAAATGCGAAACAGTGTCTCTTATAAAATAATAAAAACTTCAAGAACCGGTTATATCATGAGAAGCTCTTCCAAAAAGGATTTTAAAATGAAAATGGAAAAGTGAAATAGTGCAAAACCAAAAATTAGATTCACTAATACTTATCTTGCATTTTTGTAATAGAATTATATGTATGTTAAGATGTAAGTCAATGGTATATCGATGATATAATTACTCTACTATGAACATTGATATGGATTAGCTTTTGTGTTACAATAAATTGAAAATAGTCGGTACTGATTATAATGAATAACAGGAAACTAGCATGTTGGCTCCCGACATATACATGAAGATAGCGACAAAATACAAAATTCCATTAGGTACATTGTATGCAAATCTCAGAGGAATAGGAAGATATATAGACTAGAACCATAAACCATCTGGAATACTACTGCCAAATTTCTAATGCAGAAGTAAGAATGAAAAATTAACCCCTTTCCAGACTTAGATACCACTTGAAACGCCGGCTGTCTCATGTTTTTATAAGCGACATAAACAACAGCTTTCATTCTGGGCCTAGTCTTTTATTCGTGGATGACCTAAAAATCTTCATCAAGGTATCTTCATATTGTAATGCTCTACAGCTTCAAAACCAGGTAGATCTAGATAGCCAGTAGTGTGCAGCAAACTGCATGGACTTAAAAATAGAAAAAAGTCAAGTTATTAGTTTTTGCTGCTAGAGAAGTCATTTAACTATAATATTCTCGGCAGGTAACTTCCGGTTGTCGAAACAGTCCGTGATTTGCGTTTATCCTTGTTAGTAATTTATCAATTATTGTTCCTCGCATTAACAAGATATGTAATAAGTCACTCTAGATGTTCTATAAAACGAACTGTACCAGATTCTGTTAAAATGTTTATTCCATAGAAATTATTTATCGCTCACTGGTGCGATCTAACCGTGCGTTCGTTATTTTGGTCTGAGTTCTCCGAGCTTGACTTTACCGTTCGTTTATTTAAAAAGTGTACTCGGTGCAGCCTCATTCGCGTTCGTTTATTAAAATTTCTGGCACTTTTATACAGCGTTCAACTGCTCTGTTCGCTCGCTGGTCACGTGATTACGGCTCCGCTCTGCTCTTCGAGCAAAATACCGAACGCAAAGTAACTAGGAATATTGTTCCTCTGCAGTACTCATATAGGTAAATGAAAGCGAAAACATTAAGCATAAATTTCTTCGATTTACAGCTTATAAACGAAATACACTCACTGAAAAGATTGTCTACACTGACTTGAAAAAAACTCTTACTTTTTCTATATGTAACCTCCGCAAACATTTGAATTTCACAATTTTTCAGAATTCCCTGTGGAACGCCGATTTTTCTCTCGATTTTTTTAATGAAATGTTATTTACAATTTTAGTTTTTTTTTTTTTTCAGGAACGTTTCCAATATTTTAATGCCATCTCTGTTGAATGGTTCTTCTGAACCTACATTGCAAGCTGTGTATGATTAATTTTTAATTAATTAATTTATCAATGTCCCGAAATACATCAACTGGTCGCGTTTTATATATTTTTGTGTGTGTTTGAGACCAACGTTAGATGAAATCATTTGTATTTATCTGGCATTTTTCCTACTTCAAGGCACCTTTCAATTAATTTTAAAAGTTGGTACCCGGTATTGTCAAATGTTTCGTTTTATTCATAATTCTTCAGATTTTATTTTTCAACCGATTCAAAGATATTTACATGTTTCTCCCGAATCGATTTGTATATATTTCCTATACTTCCGATATAATAATTATTATTTATTCGGGCTGTTAGAACTATCCGGGTCCGATCTTTTCTTATTTTCGAATATAATTTCTAATATTCCAGTACTTGATACCATGGAACTATCTTATTCTTTTAGCGTTTTCCACACTATTCTACATTCTCCTCTGTTATTATCTATTACTTTCAATTCATCGTTGTTGTCAAGCGTTTATTACTCAACTATCCATTAAGTTTCTAGCTGCTTCTGGCAAACATAAGTATTGGTTGGGGCATTATTTTTTCTGTCATATTAGTTTTTGACGCTCGGTTTTGAGTTTATGACACATGAATAAATAGATGAAACTAATTTTGTTCTATATAATGTCAATTAAAACTTGATGTCCCAATCTGTTACACGAGAAGTTAATGATTTCAAGAGTGAATTATTAGGGACAACTATTATTTATCAATTTTTTTTTATAAAATTTCAATGGTCTATCATATTTGGACTCAACAAAATTAAATGACAGCATAATACAAATTAACATTTAAAATAACTGAGTCTTCAAGCTGTTAAAATGTTCCATTTAATTTTATGCCCCAATAATATCTAATTTAATTTTCGCGGGAGGCCCTAAAGGTCACTGGTTGGCATTTTCATTTTATTATCTTAGTAATATTTAGCTTCCCTCTAAGGGTTGATTTAGCGTTTGAAAATTGAATCATTACTTGTCTAAATTGGTTAAAAATGCCAGATGGCCTTTCAGAAAATTCATAATTTTATTTTTACAGACAATGGAATATTCAACTTCGCAGGTACCTTTCACAAATCAAAAGGATGAAGTGCCAAGTTTTCCCCATAAAATTTGGAGTCTATCGAGGCTCCCATTCGACGGAGCTGACCGTACTAACTTCTTATATCGACAGGATCTACATAGAAGGTTTTTAATCGGTTCTAGTGGTAAGTCATTTTACACACATCTATTCCAATTATTTTATCAATGAAAACCTAATTACCATTGAATGCCACTGCAATAGCGAAATCTCATCAAGCGAATTATTATTCACATTATCCCTTATAACGGTGGTATAAGGACTATAAGGTGTGAGTTAACCTAACAGATGTGATCGGGGGTGGATGAAAAGTTTTCGCATAACGACCTCTGGAATTATTAGAACGTACTTAGTATATCTTAAAGCCACGAAAATATAATGTTGCCATAGTTTACTATCCAAGAGTTAAGTCTTGTGAAACATATACCTAAGTCATTTGCAGTAAAATATTCGAAAGTTTGATATTCGGAGTTTCGTTTTTAGTTAAAAATGCAATGACTCCCCAATTAAATAGCGCAAAGGATTATCCAGAGTGTAATTAAATTGAAATGACTGAATCCAACTACAACTTACTAGAAATGTTAAGCTTTTTGAAGAGTAGTGCATGTGTGTATTCGTGTGATAGGATTAGTGGTTTAATCCTGATTAAATCAGCTTTTTTTTAAATAACCTGGCGTTACTAAAATATAGACGCTCGACCAAAACCAAAACAGATTTATTGTTGATAATTGCTGCACTAAGCGACACGAAGCTTTATTCACTAAAAGGTACTTATTTGTACTAGCATGAATCCAATTTATATTCCTTCTTATTTCCAATACGACCATGGCGAGTTAATCAATATCCACAGATCATTAGGTTTTGCGATGCTTCCTTTGACAAAATGATATTATCTTCGTTCTTGCTCTCGATGCCAGCCTCCGTTGTTGCATGTTCACACACTACAGCATCCATTCTTAATAGAATCCAGTCCTACGGGGAATGCTATCTCTGGTTTTTTATATAGCCTATGTACTTTTAGAAGAAAAAGATTAGTCGGATGAGGACAAAAAAATAAAAAGCCGACGTTTCGTCAATATTGTTTAAAGGCATCTTCAGGGCTGAAAAATAGTTACGGCGTTGAGAATGCTGAAAAATCAATAAAATTAAATTTCAGGCTGGCTGTGAAAAATATATGATTTAAGAGTTTTCGGGGTGGAAACATGAATAATAATAAATAATATAAAAAAAAAACAAACTCAGATAGGTGCTCAGGAAACGAAACTGTCGCCTTTTTATATTTGTTGTCATTTAAACTCTGTTTGGGGATACAAACTTATTTCTACAAACTTCTAGATTTTCCACAAAGCAATTATTATTTTTCGAAGCTTTTTCTCAGCAACATTTCCCTTAATTTTCACAGCCACCGATGGAAAAAAAAAACTTTGCTCCCAGACATTGGGATGCTGTTTTTCTGGAGGGAACCCCATGTGGGTTGAAAATATAGGTTTGTGTATGTTATAATTATTTATATGATAATTATAGAACTTTTCAAATGTGTACTTTGCTAATTCGGAAATAAATATGTAAATAAATAGTTTATTGATATACAGTGTTTTATTAAACACAATAGGGGCACAGGGAACAGTTTGACTTACCTATTCTTTTTTTTTTTTGTTCTAGAAGAATCAAATTCTTTGCTACGTGGTCCAGTAAACATGTCGCTGGCTTTGAAACAAGCATTAGATTGTAGTACTTGTTCTACCCAGAGTGGGCCCATATACTGTTCGTCTGAGGATGGCAATAAAGTGATGTAGTGCGAAAAGCTTCGATATTTACTATTAGAAGGTTATTATTTGCTAACATTTCTAGTTATTATCTTTCTTATTTATTAATGTAAATTGTTATTTATTTGTATAGTTTTTTGATTATATATTTTAATATATCAACTTATTCATTATCTAGATTGTTGTAAAAATTGTAACGGGATTAAATAATAATGTTGGTATAGGTATAATATACCTGATACATGTAGCGATTCAAAATTAGCAAAAAATTCTAGTCAGTGAAAATTGTGTGGTATTTTATTAGTAATATGTATAAATTAATTTGTAGACGAATATATATAATATACTTAAAAGAATAAACGAAGTTTCTTTCATTTCTCTATCAAAGAAAAAATTACCACAATAGGTATACAATTAGCACAGATTAAAAAACTTTTTGTCTTTTAGGTAAGTATTATGATTTATGGCAAATAGTATCTAAAAAATTATTCGCACATTTGAGAAAAAGTTTAATAATATGAAAATCTTTAAAGAATATCTCGGAGAAAATCTACTTTTCGTTAAAATACAAGTTTATAATAATATTTACTTTTCACCAACAGATGCTACCAAGACCCACGATATTGAAACAATAAATAGTTAAATATTAGCAACTTAAATGTGTTGAACAAATTAAACTAAAAAGTAGCCCGACTGAATAACACCAAATTTAGAAGTTGTAGAGGATGATAATTAAATACTTCCTATTGGAGTAACTGCTATATCACGAATATTGACAGTTGTCAACATAGACACTACGGTCCCTTTTTGTGAATCGGCCCACTGAGCAGTGGACTCAGGCTTCCCGTGCCATTCCTTGACGCGTTTCGTCCTTGTTAGGACTCATCAGAAGGACATAGGCTGAAGCTCCCTGTCCAAGCAAAATTGAACTTTGTTGACCAGTCAGAAACAACTACTCCGAGGGCAAATACCCCTACCGGTGTTGAACTACACTGATTGGTCTGAGCTTTCGTTGGCAATCGAAATTGTTAGAAAGATTTTTTCAGGTAATGACCAACGCAATGACCAATATTCTCTAGATCTTGAATATAGATGCCGAATATCTTCTTGGGAGTAGAGTAGTATGCATCGTACCGTAATTTTTGCACTCAACACTTAACTTTCTAATCTCGTCTTCTTCAAGAACATGCCAGTTGGGATTGGTTCTCGGAACTTACCTATCTAAGGCATTCTGTTTATTTCCACAATTTATCACACCTACAGTGCCTTATAACATCCTTAGCAATGCCCCTAAGCTTCAGTCAATATTTTTGTGATTCCTATGACCAGATCCTTGTAAAGCATGCCGTAAGTGGATTTCAAAAAGAAGAGTATCATCGATTGTCTCCAGAGATACTAAATAACATGCTGGGTGATTAGAAGTGCTAAAATCTACTAAATTGGCTGTTTTCATCTTCATTTTCTCACATGGTAAGCCAATAACGCTACCGAAGGGTTGACGACTGGTGACTACTGATAAGCGGAATTGCGAAAACGTAAAACTGAGACGCGTATATAGAGGTCATTTTGTGGTTATAGGATAATACATAATTCCTGCAGCAACATTTAGAAATCAACTTTTAATCATTGCGCAATTTAGTCATCTATTCTCCTTGGGGTTGATCTGGATGAATCCTGTTTCTGCGTTTTGGTAGCAGCTTTCTAAAACGGCCACCCATTTGAAGACCTAAAAGATACTGTGGAGCTAATGGAGGTTCGTCTGCATGGGCAAGAATTCGTCTGATCCTTTGTCGACACTTACAGCAGATGTAAATGGTTACAAGAACTAAGATTGGGACGATGGTGAAGATTGCAAACCACCGACTGTGGATACAAATGGGTCTTGGATTAGTTTATCCAATTCATCGTAAAACTGGTTCAACCTAAGCTGTGCTACATTAAGTTCGTCATCATCGATTTTAGTGAGTTTCAGTGGTTTCAACTCTGGAACATGGAAATTTATCGAAAGGTGTTTGCAATAATTTTGAGTGGTTGGTAGAACATGATGAAGTCCTGTTCGATTCTCCAAAATGAGAATGGGATAGATATGGAAAAGGGTATATCTTTCAGGCTCAATTAGGATGAAAATTATTTCGGATTGAGGGTAAGAGCTCTAAAATCTAATACATCTGGACTATACAGTGTCATTACTTAAGTGTGCAACATATGGGATTTTTCAATCAAAATACAAACAAGTCCAAAAGTTGGTGCATGTCTGATAATCATATTAGGTGCACTTAGAAGGGTTGCAAGTCAAACAGCATACAGGGTGGTGCAAAAAATATCAAAATTATACTAATATTTACTTAAATAAAATACAACTTTTGCACTTTAAGGAGAGTTTTTTTAATATAACTATTATCATTAGTAATGTTTTAACTTGTTAAAAAAAAATTGCGACATTTTGAAGTTGTGTTATATATATCATTGCAACAAACATGAATTTTGTGATTCCATAAAATAAAAAAAATATAAATTAATTTTACAAAAAATATGCTTGAATTTGAACAAAGTTATGTAAAATTGATTTGATTTTAATAATTAATTTTTGAAAGTATTAAGGGCGGAAATAAAAAAAAAAAAATATAGAAATTATAGATTTTTTTAGAAAGAAAAAAATAAATAAAATTAAGAGGCTATGTTTTGGTATTTAGGCCTAACTTTTAATTCCAAACAACTTTTCTCTATAACATTTTGCTGAATTTTCTAAAATAAGGGTACTTTACAGTACAGCTTTGATATTATTTGAGCTACCCTGTATGCTGTTTGACTTGCAACCATTCTAAGTGCACCTATAATGATTATCAGACATGCACCAACTTTTGGCCTTGTTTGTATTTGGGTTGTGCTATTACTAAAAAAAATCCCCATATGTTGCACACTTAAAAAATCACACTGTATATGAAACGTAGTTAAGGAAGGCAAACAACGTGTCTGAGAAATACGAAGAAAAGAAACTCATGGCAAATCTGTCAATGTTGAATTTACAAAATTGACTTGTTTCAAGGTTTGCTTTAATTGAAGTTCTATAAACTTCAAATCTTGCGAAAGGCCAGTTAAAAAGGTACCTATTTGGCTTTGTCTTTTATTCGAGTTTTCTTGAATTATACTTCATGACCTTCTGTGTACTCTCCCCTGGCAATGGCAAAATTCGTACGCACCATACGATGGAAGTTTCCTGAGGAGACCTTTGTGTCGCACCTAATTAAATGCCTTGGAGATGTCAAATGCTACAATTCTAGATTCGCCATGTTTTTCGAGTCACTGTCAAGACTGACGTACGCCAGCAGATCCCCTGTTGATCTTCTAGAAGGAACCCCGTACTGTTTGTCAGAGATGAGCTTATTGGCTTCGAGGTATTCAACCAGTTTCATATTGACTGCCTTTTCCATTACTTTCGAAAGTATAAATATAAGTGAGATTTGACGATAATTGCTAGGCAGAGTTTTGTTGTCCTTTTTCACCTGCACTCTGGCACATTTCCAGATAGACGGCAAAACGCCTTAACTGTAAAAGAGGAAACAGTTTGCAAAGAACTGAAGCCAATTCTTGTGCGCAAGCTTTGAGGACAATAATTAGTGGAATGCCCTCGGAACTACAAGATTTTCCAGTGGCAGTGTCAAAGTTCTAGAAGAATTTTCCTAATTGTTTCAGGTCTATACAACGTTGTCCATGTAAGAACCAACGTGTGGCAGTACTCGTGGCGATCTGGCGCTACCCACCATCGTGGAATTTGATGCAAATTGTTTGGCTAAGGGATCTGCTTTTTCCTTTGACGATTCTACAATTGAATTATGGATAGTCCTTAACTAAAGGTGTGAATTCCATCTCCTATGGTCTTGGACCGAAAGAACCTTGATCCACTTAGGTAGTTCAAAAGTCGATTACGCACTCGCTGGTTGTGTAGCCCCTTAGCCTCGTTGGTTATACGGTTGCAGTCATTTCTGGAAGTCGTAGAGAACGATCAAGTTTGTTCGCATTGGTTTCTACGCCAGGCACGATATACAGTGTTTTTTTTTGCAACCGCTGAGACATCCTCCTTGTTAGAACCTCTTGTACAGCCTCGGAGGAACCTTTCCAATTAAAGCAAACATCTGACCACGGAAAGGTCGAGAAAAAGAGTTTTAGGTTTCTTAGTCTGCACCTGCATAATAATGCCACACCCTACGAGTTACTGAAGTAGGGGCTGAGGGTATAATAAACGAATTTCGAGCGGAAATCAATTTATGGTCTGATTTGCCCAAAGGTGCCCAACATCGATCTTATAAGGATCGGATCGGGATTCGTGGTAAGGAACGAATCGAGTAAATTGGCCTATTGAGTAACGGAATCGGGAATACGTGTGGGCTCTTCTAGCAACTAGGTTAGGCCGTACGAGATGGCAAATGCTTCAGCAATCCTTTCAGGATGGATTGTTTTGTTTGGGAACTTGAGCCACTCTGAGTTATGAACATCAAAATCCCCCAAGAATATAATCCCGGAGTTCGGATGGGTTTCCTGGATAGAATCAAATGAATTTGCCAGATTTTCAAATAGAAGTTCATAACTGGAAAGTCGTTGGGTGAAAGATACACGCAGCAAACAAACTCAGTGCTTCGTGCTATTAAAACATATTGATAACTATGGAAGATCGTTGAATGGGTGTTCATCTGGATGATCAGCCATATATGAATACGAATCATCTCAGTTTAACTTGCATGTAATCTTCCCAGGGATTCTTTTGATTGTGAGAGGCTCACGCTCGAAAATATCAGTTTTAGAGTTTTCACAGGTCTTTGAGTAGGTACAGCATCGTGAAATTTACTTCCTGAATCCTGGGTTCTTTAAGACGTACCAAAATTCTAGTTAATCTCTAATTGTAAGGGCATAATATTTATTCTTTCGAATGAAGTTTTGGGAATTTTTGATGATGACCAGTGGAGTCCTAAGATTCTAGCGACAGATTTTTAACTTTTTGGCAATTTCACATGGTTTAGGGACGTACTCGACATAGTCAAGCCATGTCAGGATTATTTTTCTTGAATTCCTTTGAGGATTATAAATTCAACCCTCAGAGCTGCTGAAATTCAAAATTGTTGATTGGGTTTCAAGTTCACAAACAAAAGGTACTAACTAGGTCATTTATAAAATATAATTATGTTATTGCGGATGATTTTTTGAAATATATAGGTAAAAAAAATATTTGTTAGATACCATGTATTTATCTGTAATTTTTATAAATTTCCAAATTGTGTGGAAATATATTGTAGCAGATTCTTTCTTATGTACTGAAGGCACAAGGTATTATTATCCTAAATATTAAATTATTTGTTCAACCATAAAAAAATACAATATAAAATAAATAAAAACATTAAAGAAATATCTACCCAGAAGTACCACTATGACTAGACCATTATTATTTTTTTAAATAATAAAATTATTTATAATTATCTAAAAATACATATCGACACATTTTTAGTAGGTAGGTAATTAAACTAATACAATATAATATGAATCACTCAGTCTTCACTAATTTTCAAAGTTGGCGCTTTTGTCGTTGATCCTGACTCTTTTTTATAAGCTGAGAAAAATGTTAAAGCTTTCATAAGCTGGTAGCTTTTCGATATTGGTATATTTGAATCATAAAGTTTTCTAGAATTTTTGCAATCAACGTAAAACCACCAGTTGCATTTAAGAATTGCTTGGTCGTATAGAGTTGATTCCGGACAAAGGAAACTTTTCATAATAAGGCCCTCGTCGGTTAGAGCACAGACATGAAATACCTAAAACAGAAAATATCAGTTAATAAAATACTACATTGAAAACTGTACGAGGAAAAACTGTGAAACATGACAGTGATCTTCGAGTTTTATACAACATAATGTACTACATAAATATTATGGCTCTACACAACTTCTGGTCTTCTAAAAAAAAAGTGCTTTAATTAGAAAAACGTACATCGCGTCGGCGTCGGTTTCCAGAAAAGTTTTGCTTGAGAAAATGCCGTTTTCGATAGAAGAAAAAAGCATAACAGTGAATCATGTTTAAAAATAATAGCCATCTTTGATATACGTTGCCATTTTTAATGATTGAAATATTTAAAGCATGCCCTACCCTAGGATGTCTATTTCAGATGACACCACTGTCACCACTATCGTTATTCTGGAGACGGTGAAAATTCGAGATCGGGAAGAAAATCGGCCTAAAATAAATTTCTGATGGTACCAATTTTTTTTAGTTTCTGAGACAGATTCGGCAATACATGGAAATGTATAGTACCTATACCTGTTTAAAAGAATGACCTCAGAATAATAATATATTATCGTTATGCAGAAAAACGTTTGCTAATCCTTTTTTAATAGGTTTGCAACTAGACCAGAAGATATTTTATTACTGTATTACCGACACATACCAATTACAAAATATTATAGCCAACGAGTTAAATAATTATATTTTTCGTCTTCAGGTAGTGACTGGTACTAGCCCAGGCGAGAAAAAATAAATTGTATTATTAAATTTATTGATCTGCTATTCGTAAATGAATAATATAGCCAAGCAACAACTTAAAATGTGAAAGGTTTTTCTTAAATTGATCCTGATCTCCAACCGAGAAGGCAAACCGGATAAGACATCAATATAAACGACGCGAAGAGAATGTGTAAATATCTATATCTAGCTGCAGCTCTAAATTAATTTTGTTAAAATGTGGAAAATATTTGTGTAGTGCAGTGTAGCTGTAAAATAAAAAATAATGAGAAGTTAATTTAAGTGCCGGTTTATTCACCTCCTGATTAACTGTCAGGTGTGCAATCTGACGGATAAAAACGCAATATTCAATCCCATTGGTCGGCCAATTATCCGCCGACCAATATAATTATAAAACGGTACATTTGTCTTGCAGATAGTTACCAGCAAGTTTATCTCAACATGAATAAACCGGGCCTAAGTGTATTAAAATTAATTTCTTATCATGGATACTAAAACTAAAAACAACATCGAACTATTTCCTAGTGAGAGATGAAGCACCTGTGATTTTCTTATACAATCTCCATTACCCGAATTACAAGTGTTCAATGTATTTGAGAAAGGAATATCTCAGGATCCTAATGAAGAGCTTTGCAAAATATTGAAAGAATAAATAAAAATTAAGGAGATTTGCCTTTATGTTCTCAATTTCTAAAGTCGGAAGGGAAGGAAGGAAAAAAAAAGGTTTTTATGTTGGATTCCGCAAGCAACAAATCATTTTTTGACCAGAAATCCGATGCATTGCTAAAAATGGGACCAGTTTTGGCCAATGAAAGAGACATCGTGGAAATGACTAAAAATTTGAGTTGAATGGATGTTTTTTTTTTTACACGCGTACCCTCTAATCTTCCGTTAGTTTGCAGTTTTCAAGCGTTGGAATACAACACCTGGACTTCAGGCAAGGGTTGTAATAGGAAACCCTACAAGGGAATTGCGCACAAAGATGAGACGAGTGATAGGTCTATTGACAAGACGACAAGACATTGTCACTCGAAAAAACATCAGCACAGGATGGGGATATCCAATGGATCAACTGAACGCAAACTATGTGGAGAAGAACAAAACACCTTCCCATATCATATGTGACTGTATGGCTCACACAAAAGATACAGACTCTTCGAAGCAACATAGACTGAAGATAGACTACCTTCCGAAAATCTTGTCCAAGGCCTATCAGCCCTGATGAAGGAAAAAGAACTCTTGTAGGGCAGGAAGGAAATTGGGGTGCCCAATAAGTCAACAGGCTGCAGAGCAAGTTAGGCCACAGCGCCTAGCTCCGTCCTACCACCAACCAACCAACCATCAGGTCTAGATCATTGAAAAATAAATTATTGAGAGGTTTCTGTTTTAGGGGCCAGTAAATTTTTAAGAAACAGAATTTCCACTAGAATAACACAAAAGGGGCAGATCATATGAATAACGTGAAATCAAAAAAAACAAGAACAAATACAACAGAATAAATGCAATAATTGCTGTGTCCATGCATAGTGTGACAAAACAAAATCTTTTGATGTTATGAAATGGTCGTGTAAATGACCATGACGACGAATTGGACAAAAACATAGATAACAAAATTATTACCGTTATGAAAAACAAAGTTCATGAATACCTAACCGCTTTATTCATGCTAAATATTTTATCTTAGAATTTGAGACTAGACTGGATAATATTAATTCCAATCAACGTCGGCCTGACTGACATGATAGAAACAACATCAAAATGGCTTCTGGGTCCGTTATATTCTAACGATGCCAAAAAATATGATGAAGCAAATGCAGAATTTCTAATTCAGCAATTTTTAACAAAATATTAACAAGCAATGATTCAAGTACAAAATATGTCAGTATTCTGACTAAAATCAGAATTTTTATGATAGCATTTTAATTACCTCACCTTATAATTAGCATTGACCTACAACAATATGAAGAAGAGATTTCTTTATCTACATCTACATTTGTACACTCAGGTCAATGAACAAATTACTGTGGATGTAGGCTTTATAAAAAAAGTCGGAATCCAGAATTTCCAAGCTGTCAAAAACGTCACAGCTCCGATTGTACATCCCATTTTTACCAGATACGTATTTGCCATACCAACCACAAGACACATGAAAATGCAGAAGCCTTGCAAAAATAACCAAACGTGCATTTGTCCTCGATAGAAGGAAAATCACTTTCGATTTCTTCTATACAAGTTCAGGACATCAATAATAAACCAAGAAACCCTTAATAAACCTAACTCTGGAAAGCTCAATAAATAAATAAATATATTTTATTTGCCATTAAGGCAATATATATTCCAATTGTATATGAATCGTCCATAATTTATTGATGCCTCTAATGAATGAGACATTACAACAGCAGGTTAGGTGAATATTCAAACACTCAGTAGGAGGCTATAAAACTATCCAAACATTAAAAAACTCGTTCACAGGCTTGTCAGTCAAGTATTCTTCGAATTAACGTCTAAACTACATTATTTCCAGTTTGCAATATATCTTCTGGAAGCCCATGAAAAAACCGAGTTCCTGAAAAAATGGACTTCTTCTCAAGCCTGAACTTCAAACATCTGAAATTTTCTAAACCTAGTGCTGTGATCGCCAAACTCTTCACTACACAAAAATCTTCCTTTGTTAAGAAACAAATAAATGCATGTATTTCTTACACCAAAAAGATGTTCAGAAGCCAACAGAATTCTTAGCACCAACTAAATTTGAAGCCAGCCATCCAGCTATTTGGAGTATAGCTACCATAATTACCACACTAGATTTCACCGCCATGGATGGCCTCGAATTTTGAAACGCAGCAACTCTGCCATCATGAAGATATCCGATGGAAAGACAACCGAACTGCCGGAAATAAACCTGTATCCTTATTGTTTTCGGCTTCGAAGAAGATAAAATAAACAAGCTGTTCGACGTTATCTTCAAGCCAGCTCGTAGAGCTTATAAATATACGGTTCAATGCTCTAATTGTCTTCTTCATCAAACTTCGACTAAGATCATTGAGTGAGTCGCAGAGAATTACTGGTTCTGTGATAGTATTCTGGCCGAAAATTGTAATATCTAATTTTTCACGGTAGCAAATGTCTCTACAGATATCATAGTTTTAAGTTTTTAAGGTATCATAGTTTTAAGTTTTATTGAAGGTTTACTGATAGAAAAGTAGATAGTTGGATTTTTTTTTCCTTAAACACTCATCTATAGCTCAGGAATAACCTAAAGAACTGCACTAACTTAGGAAGCAGTCTATATTATTCTTGCTCAAAAATTCCGATGTAACATTATTTTTATTAGGTAATTGATTAATGGGTAAATTAATTTTACCGCCCATCAAAAAGATGATGGGCATTACCAAATAAAGTAAAACGTTTACCTAATAACTGTCATTTCGTCACGCATATTATCGTTTATTTGAAAAAATGCTAAACAAATTAAGTTTCTCCTTGAATATTAGAAACTTCATAATTGTCGCCTATCCACCTTAAAACCCAATTTAAAAATTTAACTAATTACATTTGGCAAATATCGGCTGACATAACCTACGGATCTGTGGCTTTATTGGATTTTAATAAATAGGCATTTTTGCTTCGTCATTACTCATTATATAGATTGTATAGGCTTAATTATTCAATTACTGCTAGGGAAATCATAATAACCTTGATTTAAAAAAGAAAACGTGATTCTGCTTTTTCAATGTTAGAGTCTTTAACATTTTTAAATACAACAATCAATAAATGACATGAAAATTTATAGTTACTTAGGTAGGTACTTTTCTTAAATTTTTGAACGACCTTATAATTTACATCAGAGACTCGTATAGGATATTCCAAATGTTTTAATCTGGTAATTACAAAACATATTTTTAATTGACTGAAAAAAAAATTCTATCGATAGGCAATAGCTCTTTCCTGCTTCAGAACTCATTTAAATAATTTTAAGTTTAATTAATTATTATATTTCATCTAATTATTTATTTACTTACCATACATCCAAGGTCCTCGTCAGCATATAAGCCCGGAAAATGTTTTTGATGCTCACAATAAAATGAAGTTTCAGGTAGTTCTACTCTAGCTGCAAAGTTATCATCGAAGTTCTTATCATATCCCACTGGATAGTATTCTTTGGGTGCATTCATTACTTTTCCAAGACTCGTACCATATCTTGACGTAACTGGTTTTCTGGTTGTCGTTGTAGTGCTTGTTGTAGTTTTTAATTTTTTAATCATTTGCTGTGTATGTAATAATGCTATTTCCAGAGCTTCTTCAGTTACGTTATTTGTAGATAGCAGCGTTTGTAAAGAGTTAGAAGAGTGTTGAGAAACAACAGATTGATCAGCATCATTATTACCTACAGATATTAGTCTATCAGAGAAGCCACTGGCCATGCTAGAAGTTTTTCTTTTAGGAACAGCAACTACAGCCATTACTTTTGCTACAGAAGGATCTACAGGAACTTTAGAGGAACCTATGGAAAATTTCGATAGAGAAGGACGCATAGAGTTTAAAGAAGAAAAACCAATACCAACTGAACCCGGAGAAGATTTTGTTAATGATGCTCTTTCAGCTGCTGGAGGTATCGGTTTAAACGCTGGAATTTCCCCTTCACTAGATTGTCTGGCTGTACCAGATGTGCTTGGTGATATCACTTGCATTGATGCTAATTGCTCTGGTAGTTGAGTTACAGATCTACTGGAAATAGACTAAAAAGAAAAAAAACTTTTAATTCTTAAATAATGCACCTTCTGTAAAAATTTCAATGTAGATTATAGATATGATTATTCAGTGTAAAGAATCAATTATAAAATATGTGGGTACCTGATATAAAAGCAAAAATATGGTGTGCCTAACGAAGCGAAATGGACGGAAAATAACTATGTAGTAAAGCTAGTAAACCCGTCCAATAAAAATGGGTAATATATGCTAATTTGCAAGGCCTTTGAATCATGAAAAAAAGTGAAACATATAATATCATCCAATTTTAAAGAATTTACATCGTGCAAGCAAAAATATAACAGTGATTTTAAAAAAAAAATGTTGCATAAATATAAGATACTGAAGGTTGGCTTACAATGGCTTCGGTTGATATGGTATTTTTATTGGAAGTCGTCTAGTCTAGAACTTTTTCACCTAATTATTAGTAACATTTTCATATACTGGTTCAACGTATAGCGATATTGTTCATCCGAAGGCTCTGCCGGAGTAAAAGAGTATCCACTACAATTTTATGTTTATTAAAACTACCAAACCCTTAAATGGACCTTATCAAGTATATCGTAATAATTATTATGATCTGAAATATGTATTTCGAAAAGAGAAGAATAGGTACGGCAATAAACAACTCAGACACCTGACACTTGAATAGTTGGTGATAAAAAATACGATGTGGCAATTGAGTCATAAAGAAAATGGACCAACTAAGTCATGCTATGAAGTATGAAGCGTTGAAGATTTTTCTTGTATTTTGTTTATCGTCGCCACAAAAGAAACAACAAGATGTACGTGACGTAGACATGAAAAGCTAAATAGTGAGAAGGACTGCAAAAGTCAAGGCAGTTGAGAAAACGCCCACAATGTCCTTCAGTGCGTGTTGGTCTATGTTGCTATTGCGGAAGTACGTCAGTTGTGGAAAGTGGATACGTAATTGAGTTCTTCGAATCATCAATAATTGAAGCCACCGAATCAACTGCTAAATGAACTTGTGGTTTTTCAATGGTTCAATTGATTTGCTTATGCAATGAAAATCGGTTTTAATAAAAGATAAATTACGCGATACACATAAAAATATTAGCTGAAATAATTTTCTTGAAAATAAATTAAACCTATATATTAATTTTTTTTTTTGCAAAATAGTAAATTCAAAATGTAATCTTATCGCAAGACAGAATCTTGGATCCTACTGCACTGATGAGGTGCAAGAATACCGAAACGCGTCTGTAGTTGGATCCGCATAGCGAAAACTAGGTATTGGATTCCCATAATTCGGAAGAGGTGGGCACTTTACCACCGAGGAAGCTGGCCTCCTTTGAAAGAAGCCTGAAATTCTTGGACACCAACTAGAAGCAGAGTCACGCACAAAATATCTGGAAAGGTAACAGTGCTTGAGCGGCTGTAACAAGCTTTAAAACATACGAAACGATGAAAACCATCGACTTTGTTTATAGGAGAACGATGTATGCAATTACGTTTAGTACCTGATCCCATAAAATAAAATAATAAAAACCCTATGAGAAAAAAAAAATCAAATTCAAATTCATGATAAATTTATTGAAATCCACTTGCTAAAATGTATTCGAAACATTGCTGAATAAAGTTCAGTGGGATTCTGGACATCAGTATCTAAAGGCGACTTATTGTTTAAAACCTCATTGCTTGGGTTTATTTATAAAATTAAAATTAATAGAATGTTGTTAATTGTGGGTGTTGTCTTTTTACATCCTATTATTTCTACGTTTGGTCGTGTCATGCCTTATATGCTTTCAAGGTTAATATAAAAAAATCCAATATTCGAAAGGGTGTTTTTAATTTTGCATAAGTCTGCTAGATAGTTAGGTATTATTGTGTGAATGGAATCATTTAAAAACTAAAAATTTGTGAAAATTTGAAATTGCGTTATCTTGCAGAATAAAATTTATTCGTAAGATCATTTCATTGGATTTAGTTACATAGAACTATAAATTAAGCAATCTGATCTTATAATTTAAGGATTTTGGACATAATCCAGAGTTTTAAAAATGCCCTCCTTTAACATCACCTATCGCCTCCTTGCTACAAGTTGTTTTTAATCCCAGAATCTCAAGTATCCTTTGGAATTCAAATCTTAACATAAAATAATTTGATTCTGGAAACGTGCGCGGAGAGGGTAATCATCTGGTAGAGGTCTTGTCTACATACAATTATGTGTATCTGTAGGTAATAGATAATTGGATTTGCTCAAAAGATTTTTGTCAATAAAATTGCTTCTATAGCGTCCAAATGTGACACAAGGTGTTTCATTTTATGGCCGAAATCGCTATATTTCAGATTTTGTCAATTCACGATTGAAATCAAAATTATTTCCGTGATAGTGATTATTTTCTACCGATCTTATGTGAAAAAGTTATATTAAACATTCACACGCGTGAAAAGAGACAGGCAATGCACTTTTTAAATTCTTCTGGACAATATGAAAATTGTGAAAACATCCAAAAACTGACTCACCAATATCTTTTTAATCAAAGTTGTACTTGGACCATTGACCGCTACTTGTCTATTCGGTATATTTTTCAGTACAATATTTCTATCGTTGGGAAGAAGTAAAATTAATTTCTACTGTACATACTTTACTTCTTCCCAACCATGCACTTCAATTTTCTCCAGGTATCGGCTCAATTAATTCAAATATTATTTAAATTTATATGGCTATAATATTTGAAATTGCCTTTCTCTCATTGTAGTTCAAAATTCTCGGCGAAAAGTGTCAATGGCTATAGAACTATAGAACATTTTCTCTTTTCCCGCTGGCTCGACAAAAGCTTCAACTTGCAGGCACCTTCTCCATATTTTTCCTGAAGCAATGAGTTGTAGTACTTAAATAGTAACATGATATAGGTTTTTCCATTGTGTGTCTCTGGGTTCCTGTTTCTCTTTTGTTTGTTATTCTGTCAGTATAATCATTGTTTGTTCAAGGAAGTTCAAGCATTAGGATTCGACACATATGGAAGGTTTTTTCTTATAAAACTCGAGCCCTGAATCACAATATAGAGTAACAATTTTATTGCGAGTCGCCAGTTGCTTCAAGGTTTGCTGACATAATCGCAAAGATACCGAATGCTTTTAATGCCGGAGGTTCGGAATTGATATAAGTCTTTATTCTTTGAAGGTTTTTCTTCAAGTACTTTCGAGCACATGAAGACAGGAAGTGATGAGAGTAGCAGGCTCTAGCCAAATAAAGGCGACGTTGCTGCTAATGCTGCTTTCACGAGCCAGCTTGCCCGCTTCCGCGTTGTCTTTATGACCCCTCTGACCCCGTACCCAGGCTGAGGTGACCTTGTTGAGCTCACTGAGTAATTCCAAAGTTTTTCTCCTGAGCACTCCCCAATATAACGTAAATCTCGGTATACCCTTAAGTGTCGACCCAATGCAGGACTGATTCTCGCCTCAGGTCTTTCTCCATATATACCAGCCCCTACACCTTCCTCCATTAGAGACCCGCCTGTTGTACCAGATGAGCCTTTTCGGTATGAGGTAGCCTTGGTTAGGCTTTAGTAATTCGTTTCTTCCAGCAATAACAACCTTATATTTTCTGAAGGGGGCTGACGTCTTTGGCATTGCATCCCGTTTGGTGAGAAGGGGTTCCTGTCTGATAGTTTCAGTCCAGGCTATCGCATGCACCAAGTTTCACCCCCTGTGCACCTATTGTCCCCAATCGCTGAGTCTGACTGAAGCCTCTCAAGCCCGTGCCTCAAAAAAAAGGTGTAGAATCACCATTGCCAGCGTAGGGTTCGTTCTGAATGCTCCAATTATTGCCATACAGGCAAGTCGTTTGAGCTTGTCTAGCTTTGTCCTGTACCTAGGTGGATTTGCGTAGCACGATTCACCAGACTAATTTGCCATACGTGATCATCGGCTTTATCACTGCAGAGTAAAGCCAAGTGACTATATTGAATTGTGAGCCCCAGATGCGTCCAATGGGCCTTCTGCAGGCCCATAGGCTAGCAGTGGCCCTCTGGACGACTCTATTGACGTGATCTTTACAGGTCAGCCTGGAGTCAATGCTGGCAAGTCGTGAGTCCGTTCAGGCGCACGTTTCTGTGATTAGTCGCATACCTCCTATGGTACATCTCCGGTCCGTTAGGTATTTATCGAAAGCCCATGATTGCTGCACCATGTTGAATAATATCAACCGGTTTTGTTGTTGTTTCTGTGTTTGTGCGTTCAGGAAATTACGCGTCACAGTTCGTATTCTTTACCATTGGTCATGCTCTTCAAGTCGTACCTATACATACAGACTGAATTATTCTTGAGCCTACCATAAGGCCGATCTTCCTTAGTGCGGTATGCAAAGCAAACTGGTCCAGCATAATCTACATGGCTGTGGTTTTAGAGGTGCTCATGAAAGCACCTGTCATTCCAAGATACCGATATATTTGTACAGTTGACAATTGGTTATATGTCGACTCTGGATTACATGTTGGCCACTACACTATTGCAGCAGGCCTGTTATAAACATTGTATATGTCCAATAATATTTTTAAGAATTTGGACGACAGGTTATGCACGGGCATGTCCAGTATGTGACTGTTGCCTGATTCATTATTCTTTTTAGAACGTAAGACCTCCAAAGATTATAGAATACTAGTGAATCAAAACGGGAATGAGGGTGAACCCATCCAAGTACATGGCGGTTATACGCTAAACCATGGCGGTGATACGCCTAATCATGGCGGTGATACGCTAAACATGGCGGTGATTGGAAATGCAACTCAATTATCATCGAACTATTGAAACTGTGGGCCGAACAGATAAAATTAATCAACTTAGTCGAATATTTGGATCTAGTAGCGGTACACATGCGGATGCGACCGAGGATGCCCACCTTGACCACCGAAAGACGAATATGTGCATGTGGAAGCAGCATAGCTACAGGAAAAATATTTGGCCTAAATTACGATACTCTTTCCGCGGTCAACGTACCCCGCTGGTGGCCTCAAATGGCAAATGT